TTTTTTCATTGACGCTCTATTTTTATTCGTCATTTTGTTATTCACTGGTTAATGCATTTTCTATTCTCTATTTATTTTTTGTTTAATTTATTATTATTCTAATCATTGATTTAATTGACAAATAAGTTTATTATACACATTCATTTGTATCTACGGTAGGTTTCAACGTACTATTATTATGTATCTCTATAAACTCAGAAAGACTGATATTGATTATTTTCGAAAGTTAAAACTTGATCAGTTCATGCCTTTCATGTTGAATATAGGACGACAATGACAAATCAATACATCACTAATCATCATTCTTGATATCTCGAATATAATTGTTTATCTACACAAAAGTTAGAAACTGCGCTATTTCAAACAGTAAAAAACATATTTCAGTCATTTAAATATCAAGAAAGACTTGAGAATGATGTTCTTGAACAATCAAGCCTTGTTGTTAATGTCGTTTAGTGTTTTTTCCGCTCCTAATGAACTATGTGAAAGGAATGTGATGCTTGTCGTTCTCAGTTACTAAAGGAGGATTTGTATTTTATAATCTTTAATTCCGGTTGCTAAGGTCTATTGAAAGTAAAAGACGAGGAAGAAGAGCAGAAAAATCTCGACTTACAAAGTTCCATTCATTATTTTTCTTCATAAAATATACGTAGAATATTCACGAACGTATTCCAATTTCGAGGAAGACATCGAATCCGAAATGTTCTAGAATAGTCTAAGCTCTGTTGTGAATCTTATTCAGCATTTTTTTCCATTATTGAGGAATCCTGACAAAGGATTCGAACTCTTGTTGTTCTCAACTGCTATGTAAACGTACTCAATCATTGTTTACTCGTTGCGGTTGAAGCTGAGAAACCTCGACTTACAAGTTACATTCATTATATTTTTCTTTGAAAAAATTCATATGAATTTGTTTCCCTTGATTGGATATTTTTTGATTGATCAATATGTGGAATAATTAATGGATTGTCAGCTAAACAAAAAAGAAAAGATCAGTATAAAGGAGATGTTGCAATAAGGCCGATTTTTTGCCAATGATATTTTGCGCTCGGAAGTGTATCAAAGGCTTGTTGGGAATATTTCCTGACACTTAGTTTTGCTCTATGTCGACATCACTATTTGACCCCTTTGATCCATCCGGGACTTCTAAAAAGCTTTTTTCTCTCAAATTACTTGACGATTATATTCATTAGATACGATTTTTCATGCTGATCGCGAGTATCATATTTAAAAACGATACCAATCGGCTTTTAACAGAGAAAAATGCATACTACTTATAAATTTATCACAGAATAGTTTCCATTTCACAGTTGTTTTGCATATTAGAAATATACTTAAACATTAGATTTATTTTCTAAAATATAAAATTTTTGAGTAGATCTATTGGATCTATGCATTCCAAGTAAAATCAAGTCTAACAAACTTATACTTGTTTTGAATTTCGACAAAAAACAGTGTAGAAATGTTTTTAAAAACGATTTTTTCGACTTTTTATTGGACTTTATACTAGTCGAAGATGGTCTGGCGCCAAGAACCTATATACATAGTCCAATGCAATTTTTCTTGTTTTATCTAAATATGACTTTAAATCCGCAAAAAAATGTACATAAGATTTCGAGAGACTCTATAGGAAATCAACTGCGAACTCTTTAAGAACTTAAACTTCTCGGCAACGTCATCACATTCAGTATATCTTGAAGCCTAATCCTACAAATTTCGATAATTTTTACTCGACTCTATCATGTAATATACTTGTTGCTTAAATATAAAGAAAAATTGGCTGTCTTGTCTGAATGTCTCTTCTCGCGATTGAGTTAAGGCTATGAACAGTTGTTACAGTAGATTTATAAGATATGCTGAGTATGATGATGTTGTCGAAAAGCCTCACTTCTCTAAGATTCTAGACTTGATTTTCTATAGACTCTCTCGAAACCTGATGTACATATTTTTTGATGAATTTGAGCTCGTATTCAGATAAAACATGAAAAATTTTGTTGAATTGTTTATATAAATCCTTGGCACTAGTGTACCTTCCAGTAGCTTAAAGTTCGATACACGGGCAAAAAGTTCGTTTATAAAAATACTTCTACAGTTTTTTTTGCGAAATTTCAAGGAAGTATATATTCATTTTTTAGAGCTGATTTCATTTGGAATGAATAAAAAAAAGTACTTGTGCTCAAGTATTTTATATTTCAGATAATAAAACTAATGTTTAAATATATAAATGAAATAGAGCTAACATTAAAGAAAAGAAAACTACTTTAGAACTAATTATCATTCCCGTATTTTTTTTCACATAATAATCTTTAGTTAGTTTTTATTGAAATATTTTGAGCATTATTATATTACTTGAAGATTAAAAATTAGTTTTTTAATAAATTTTAAAAGAAAAAGTTGTTTTTTTTGATAAAGTAAAGATTAATCAAAGGATCAATACGATTTTGTGAACTCTTTGCTTCAGTACACTCTCCAATATACACAAAACGTTTAATAAGACAACTTAATCTTTTTTATTCGTCTTTTTAATGACTATCAACATTTAAAACGAAAATAAAATCTATTTGACTGTTTTTACATGACTATCCTGCACTTTGTTTATTAAAAATATCAGTACGCGGAATCAATGTAATCTGGTTCTCACAAAAACCAGTAAAATAATAAAAGAAAAAGAAGAGAAATTAGAATTCGATAATTAATAAACTATTCAATACAAGACGAAGAAATATTTTTCTTCAAACTTAAATCTACTTATTCTTTATTTTAAGAAGGCAAATGATCATAATCTTTGCTTCTTCTAAATAAAATCTAAAAAGAAAGAAAATCGAACTCCAAACATTTTTGTTTTTGACTTCTCATTTTATTTCGATTTTCATAAATAAACAAAAACTAATATCAAATATTTATTTCTATTTTTTCTATTCATTGAAAAATTTTCTTTTCAAATATCTTTTTGCCACAAAAAATTAATTTTCATTCTAAAAAAATAATTTTTTTTTTCTTTGTCTCTTAAATTCAATAAAAACAAAATAAATAAATTCTAAATGAAAAGTTTTTTTACAATTCAAAAGCAAGAAAAATAATTAAATCAATTTGATTCTTGCTTTTAATTAAAAATTTCTTAAAGCAAAAATTTTAATTAGATTTTCATTTTCTTTTTAAATATTTAATAGATAATAAAATTCTTATTCTTTTACTTTGAAAATCTGAAAAATCATCATTCAGATAGAAAAACTAAATTTTATTTACAATCAAATTGTTAAAATAAAAATTCATCACTTGTTATCTTAAACTATTCAATTAAAAAAATAACAAATAAAAATTCTTTATTAATCAAACGAAAAAAAATTCTTTTTTTTTGTTTTTCAATGATATTTGTTTATCTGAGAAGCAAAAATGTTTTATTTTATTATAAAAATAAAACTTATTCAAGTCTTTTCTCCGATGAAATATTGCCATATTTCACAATCCGATCACGAAAGACATCTATTGAGAATTTTCTTGAAATTATAGACAAAATGAATAAACGATGGACTATGGACTCAAGTTTGGTTCACGCCAAGTTTGGTTCACTTCTGACGACCCAGGACAGGGTAGAGTCGTATGTAACATAATCACGAATAGCATCAGCTTGTTAGCATCTGTTTTGGTCGTTCGCAATGACTGCATTATTTGACTCAAAAGTTGTTCTATAAAACGATAGAGCGAAAAATCCGTCAGGGTATGGCCGCTCTGTCATGGTTTTTAGTACACAATTACTCAATATTATTGAAGTTCACAATAAAAATCTATTAACACAGATAAAATTATTGAAATCATACAAATAACCGTTGTTTCTTTCGGTTCATTGCTATGATTGTTTTATGTATCCTTTTCATTCTTAACTATGAATGGGTGAGAAAAGAGTGGTCAACAATGCAAAAAGGTCAATGAACGTATCGTTATATTGGTTGAACACAAACTTTTTGTTCGAATATATTCATTTTGAGGAAAAAAAAGAATGAACGAATACATTCTTTTCATGCAAAGTAGACGAAAGAATAAAATAGGTTAGTATTTAAACATGAAACAATCCTTGATAGAAGTGACGTTTGTTCATTCTTTTAATATTAAAAAAATAAGAAAAACAAAAGTTCAATTGCGTATTTTTTCAATCTAGAAACGGTTTTAGCGAAAATTTTAATAATAATTTCATTGGTTTTTCTTTTCGTATTGCTTAGAAAATATATTTCGAATCAAGTGTGTTTTTTATTGTAATTGAAGAAATTCTATTTGAAATATATCCATTGGTAAGTTTTTTTTCTTAAATAATGGACTTTAATAGAAATAGTTTTATATTTTCATTTCATTTATTTTGTTATGTATTGAGAAAGAATTAGATACTATTGACTTTCCTTTGCAAATTATTCTTAAAAGTAACGAACCGTGATTTTTAGGAAAATATATTTCAAAAAGTTTTTTATTTTATGAGTACTCATCTTTTTTAATATTTCAGAATTATTGTAAGATTTTAAGTTGAAAGACTGATGGTTTTATGAAACTCAAAAGTAATTGTAATGTATTTTGAGTGAAACTTTATTGCGACAAAGAAACGGTAGAATTTCGACTGAGATCTTGTTTATTTTGTTTGGAACTTCAATCCATAAGATTGATATAAAAAAGTAGATAAAAATGAAAAATACTTCTTTTTAAAGATATATTTCACACAAAAACATCGAAGCTCTTTGGATCTCGACGCGCATTGTCTGCATGATGACATTCGTTTTTATGACAGGTATTCGTCTGATATTTATTTTCATCTTTCTTTAAAAAAAAAAAAGTAGTTAGAAAAGAAATAATTCTAAAAGAGTGATATTTTCTAATTGAAGAAATGAAAATTATTTTTTTTTAGATAAAATGATAAGTAAATTAGAAATAATTCCGAATGAAATATTTTTAAATATATTTTCTTATTTATCGTGGGATGAAATCTTAATATCATTATGGTCATTAGATAATCGTATTAATTCTCTTATTTGTTCAATATTTTCAATAAATAATAAAAATAGATTTATTTTTAATAAATCAACTTTATCCTATGAAAAGTTTTCTACAATAATCCTTCCATTAATATTAAACTGCTCATATCTTTTATCTCCTATTAAATCTATTCATTTTGATGAAATTAATTCATTATTTTTCGACTTATTTTACGAAAATATTTATAATGATAACAGTATTAAACCAATTATTTATTTTCCTAATCTTAAAACAGTTTCAATTAGTCAATGTTTATTATCTCAATCATTAGTTCAAACGATATGTTTATTTATCCAGTTGAAATTAGATCAACTTACATTATCATTTCATGAAGATATTTATCAAACGTTTATTAATGAACGAGAATCTCCATCAATTCCTTCTGATAAAGGTAATAAATTATTAATTTTAGTTGCAAGAGGCAATATGTAGAAATTTGAGTTGGAATATAAGGAAAAAAGAAAGATTTGCGACAAGTAACCATATTTTGAAATTATGATATAGGCCCGTGTTTGTTATTTGTCATTTCTTAGCTGGATAATTCCAGTAAACAAAGTACAATGGGGATAATTATATTCTGATTTATCAAATAAAAATGTTTAGATCATGAAAGTTTTAAATAAAATGAACATAATCAATTTGAGTAGGAAAAAAAAGTTTGATTTTAATTATTGTTAATAGAAATTGATTTTATTTTTATTCTTCTTAAATAGAGAAAATTCAAAGAATGTTTCAACAGTTATTAAATGAAATATTTTCTAATACATGTCAGTTGAATTCTCTTCAACTTGATATAACAAAATCATTTTATTCAATACATCAATGCTTAAATCCTGGTTCTAATCTTCAATCAAGAACAATTTCTAATAAATATCAATCTTATTGTTTAACTCTACGTCATTTGTATATTCGTCTCGATTATCGATGTTTTCTTGAACATCTCATTCAATATGTTCCCAATCTTGAACAATTATCGGTTCATTTTCGACATTCCTTGGACAAGGATATAGCCTTTTGTTCAAATATTGAAACATTG